TCTTTTAAGCAAAATTATCTCTGACTTAAAAATTTAACCCAAAAGTTCAGAAGAGATTAAATTCGAAATCTCAGTAGGAAGTTCTATTATACTTAACGTTGAAAAAAAATTTTCTAACTTTTATTTAGAAATAATTTTCAAATACTTTTATTGGCATGCAACATAATTTTGTTACAAAAAAAAAAATTCTATTAGTCCACAGGTGGTTTAAAATTTATACTTCTATTTTTAATAATCTTAAGTTATTAAAGATCATTAACCCGTAACAAATACGAAAATTATATCAGTGGTTACAAGCAAAAGCTTCTTAATTTGATTTTCGATACTGAATTTAAAAAGATTTTATTATAAATTTGAATTCTCCATTGTATGAACCTACAATTTGGTTAATTAATTGAGGTCAGTGGCTTTGGCCACTATATATTTACACCTTATTTCATTTCGAAATGTGTATTAATTTTTCACACTTTCATCTTTAATTTGCCAAAAATTTAATTAATCTACATTTTCGAAATTACAGCATAAAATTAGCTTCTTTATTTCTTAATTCAATTAAACTTGATTTTTTCGAAATGTATTCCTTTTCAATATAGTAAGATTTTTCTTAAAGTCATCGGCACAAATTAACACTACCAAATATTTTTTTAAGTCTAGTTCAATTTAAAATATTTCTTAAAAATGATGTTATTCCCTTAAAACATTCTTAATTTTCAAATAACATATTTTATAATGGCAAAAATTTTATACAATGTGTAAATTGCTATAAAAGATTTATGGCATATGTAAATATAATAGGGCAATAACCTTTTTGCAATAAGTATGTATAAAATTTTTTATAATAAATTGATTAATAATATATTTAACATATTTTAATATTATTTAAAACGAAATTTACATCAAATTTCAGAAACTTATTTGGAAATATTCGTAAATTTATAGAATTTATAAATTACTAGAATTGAAAGTAATAGAGTTCTTTTTTGTCCAAAGCTATTTGTTAAATTGTATCATCTTAAGTCTACAAAAAGTTTCAAATTTAAATTTTGTTACATTTTAAATTTTTTATTCATTATAAAGTAAGAAATAATTGTATTATGAATGTATAAACATTTTAATTTTAGATCTCCTAGCTCATTTTTTGACTTATCGGATTGGTTAAAAAACAAAATTATTTTATATGCAGTGATACAGTTGAAGATATATTGAAAAACCCTAGAAATAAATTCATCTAGAAATGAAGAAAATTTTAGTAATATAGTTTGATGTGCACACTTATGGTACCAAACAATGGATATTATATCTTTCAATGATTTTGTATTTAAAAATAAATTATTTTTGAAACCAGCAATATTTGAGACAATTATTTGTGATATATGTACGTCCAGATACATAACAGTATGTAGTGGCCCAAAATGGGTCATCCCGGATATGAAAGAACAGTTTCAGTATCTAATTGTTATTATTTTTTTTCTACAATTTCAAATTATGTTGAGATCAAAACGATATGCTAATTATACATAGTAGGTATGTACGCAATTTTTTATTCTTATATAATCAATAATTACAAATATTTAAGAAATCTCTTCAGTTTCATAATATTCATGGTCTTCAATTGTCCAACATCTTTTCAGAATAATATAATTTTTATAAAATCTATTTGAGCTTTTCTAAAGCATAAGAGATAAAAATTAACTGAAGGCTACAAAAATTTCATACAGATTCAATAGAATTTAATAATTTTGTTAAAGTACAAAGTTTTTGTAAAATAAAATTCTTATTATTAACAACATTTTTCCTTATACATAGATGTGTAGATAATTTTTGAACAAAAATTTAAAAAATTTATAAAAATTTATTCATTTTACATAAATATACTAAACATTTGTTAAATACACAATTCTATATTAGAGAACAGTTTATAAAATTCGATTCTAAATGTAAACATTTAAAATTAATATTACAAAATAGCCGTAATTAAAAAAAACAAACATAAAGAAGAAAATTCTAAATGAGCAGAAGAAAAAAACTATTCTGGAAAAATATATAAAATTTTTTTAACATTTTTTATTTAAAACATGTGCACATTTTAAGCACAATAAATTTTGATTTCAAAATATCGAAGTATATACAAAGTTATAATATAATGTATTTGAATAAAATCATAAAATCAATTTCCATAAAATAAAATTTTATATACTACTTGCTTAAAATCAAAGCTAAAAACTCTGGAAAACCAAAAACCAAAACAAAAATTTCGAAATATTTAAAATATTCCAGAGCATTTTGCCCATATAAAATTAAAAAAATTTTACATCCAAAAAATTTAAAAGAAAAATATGTTGGTACTGTTTGTTTTTACACATTGTTACTTAATAAATTTTCAGCCTAATTATACAAGAATAAGAACAATATAAAATCAATATTATTTTCTCTAACATTTAAGATAAAAATTATACATCTACATTAATTACATTTTTTTATTTGAGAAACTAATTTTATAAACCAGAAATGAAAGTATAATATTTTGTTTAAAGAATCTGAAATGGCAATGAGTAGAGAGTATTTTCATTTTCATATAAAAATAAAATTTGATATGAAATTTTTTAGTTCATTAAAATCTAAAAATAAAAATTCATTCTTTTCGATTTTATATACAATTCTATATAATATGAATGAAATTATCCACACTATTCATCTTCATTTTTCTTCTTTTGAATATCATTTAATTTTCACATTTTTTTTCAAAAAGTGCAGACCATGTTCTATATATGAATATATGCGTATTTCCAATTCAATTTCGAAGACGAACGAATTAATATATAAAATAAATGCGAATAAATTTTTATCCGCTTTTATTTTATATCTAAGAAATTTTAAATAACAATTAATATTTTAGAACTTAAAAAAATAAGTTATTATGTTGGTAGATTTTCAGGTTCACCTCAAAGAACATTTTTAATCAAAAGAGAACAAAGAAATTTCATAACTACAAAGTTACAACTTTAAACAGCTTGTGATGCGAAAGAAAGAAATGTTGCAAAATTTTAAAGATTAAAAAGATGAAAGAGGAATAGGACTAGTGTGGAAACAAAAGAATTAAGTTTTAATACCGTAAAATTCTTTCAAATAAATTAAAATGAGATCAAATTATGTTTGTATTTAAAAAAACGACAAATGAAAATTGGAATTTCAATTTTTATAGTAACTGTGCAGTTTCGATGTTTTAATATTGTTCCATTTAATTTTTATTGTCTGTATTTATATTGCAACATATTATAAAAAACCAAATAAATATAAAAAACAAGTACATTACTTATAGAGGAGAATTCAATGTTGAAATATAAAAATTAGGTAATTTAAAATTTTATTTCCTTAAAAGTTCAAAAAATGAAATTATACATTAAAAATGCATCTACAGTAAATTTCAGATAACTCAAACTATTTAATTACAAAAAAAAAAATTCAATCTATTAAAAAATTTTATTAAAATTACATTTTAATCTTTGTTTTATTTTTAGGGAGCTAAGAATCAATTAGAAATCACATGGAAAATAATTATCATATACGTATTGGATTTTTTTTTTGGATCAATGATACATTTGCAACATCACTGTAAATTGAACACATTTAAAATACAAAGCCATTGATGAAAAAAAAACCACCATTGATGACAAGAAGCAACCAAATTAAGGGAAAATATTTGTCACTAAATATCGTACTAGTTTGATTCTTTCCAAAATATAACAATATCTACTTGTGAACTTGTGAATGCATTTTGGTAATAAAATTACCGGGAATTTTTATAATGAAACAATTTTTTTTATATATACCTATATATACCTTTTATTGAGTCACATGATGGGGGAATAACATGGTTAGCACGTTCAGATATTTTATAATTCTTGCGTATAGAGAACAGTTTAGTATGCTAGAGAAAATATTTTGGCCGCCCATTTAATTGTGCTCTTTAAACGGCAGTTTTTTTTTGGTGTCTTTCACGAAATTAAAAAATTATTTTTAATGTGACTTTTGAAAAATTATAATTTTAAATTCAAAATTTTTGAAGATTATTATTGTCACATTTTATATTATGCAATTTATAATATTTAAAATGTTAATCCATTATGTAACCATATACATAATAAATTGCATATGTTTGTAGATAAAAAACAAAAACTTTGATTTATTTTCTATCCATTTTTGCATTTACAAGTTTCTTTTTATCGATAATAATTAATTTATAATGTTTTAAAATAACAATGGATATGATTTGAAATTTTTTGATTGAATCCATACCATTAAGATTAAATGAAATCGAAAAAATAAAATTCAAAACTTTCTCAAATTTGCATATTATTAGCATGTTTTGGTACTATTGTTTATATGAACATATATAAATACTCGTATATTAATGGATTTATAATTATATAAAATTACAATAAATGTATTTTCCCGTTTTGGTAAAAGATTATAAGATTTTTGTAAAACTCTTTTTAAGTATCTCCATTAGTGTATGTTAGATAATTCTTTGTATATACATACGTAATATGCGATGAATAAACTCTTTACGAAAACAAATTTTGCTTTAAAGAAAAATTATGTACAAATAATCATTAGTTATGGAATTTGTAAAATTATTTACCAACTCTAGCACTACCTAATTGAATTTAAGATAAATTTTTTTAGATTTTTATTATACAATATAAATTTTTTGATATTTCTAAAGAATTAGAAAAATGTTCTAGTATAACACTTAATGAATTTCGTTTTTTAACTTTCACTTTTCATTCTATATATAGATATACAGTGAAATCTCTATATAATAAACAGATAAAATTGTATAAAATTTGTAAATAATATAGAAATTACTGGAAATACAAAATTATACAAAAACTGGGTTGTTTTCCTAACATATACTCCTTATTAACATCTAATTTTTAATACTTTTCAAATCCCAGTTTCTAATTTGAAAATTGAAGATTGTTCGTAATTATACTTACCAAAATTAAAGAATATTGTTGTACTGGTTCCAAGAGCAAAAAACTTCAGTGCAATATGATATCCAATTTAATTGCACAATTTAATTAAAACTTTTTTCAAAATTAAATATTTTTATTTTATTAAATTTCAATTTTATTTTTTAATAACCTTAAAAAGTTAAAAAAAAAAAATTTTTAAAAATTAAAATAAATAATATTAATAAATTTTAATAAATTTATCACATGCTATAATATATTTTACAATATTATAAATGTTAATTTTAAGCAAAATTTTTTGATATTTTAATATTTATTTAGAAATATAAAATTTATTAAGAATATTTTCTTTTTTATACTTCTGTACTATGGTATAGTCAGGCATGAGAACATGTGGGATTTCACCAAAAATATATTGTATTTTTGAAAAATTGAATGTATGCGTCATGGCATTTAGGGAAAACACACTATAATAAAACTAAAAATTATTTTTAAATTCCTGCAATAGAATAGAATTTAAAAAAATATGTAAATACATTATTATACTTGAATATTGTACACGCATTTATTTTTATTATTATTTATATTGTAATATACTGATATAAAATTATATTAATTATAGACAAACAATTTATTATAGGTTTGGCAGCATTTAAATCTCTTATTGAGTATATTGAATAGAATGTAAATCAAGTTGATTTGCTACATTATTACAAAATTTTTTAAAAACATGTCAAAGAACGAATTTCTATAAAATAATTAATAAGATAATAGAAAAACTTGTAAAAAAAATAATCTACTGAATCTTGCTAACATTAGCAAAAATTTTAACAAAATTTTTTAATTATGGAGCAAAATTAATTAAAATTTTCAAAGAAATAATTAAATGCATATATTTCTGAGGTATATCAGATTCGTTCGACTTAATATATACAATATTGTTTTGATATACAACTTATATTTAGGGCCGGTGTATATATCGACGGACAACACTGTATATGAATAAAATACAACTATATATAAATATATAAATTTATATATATCGTACTCAATTCTTACATTCATATGTTTTAATATCACCTCACTATTCCGAAATTCATTATAATTAAATTTCGATAACTAATTTCAAATATCAGTTGAATTTATTTTGTAATCTTATACTATCATACAAATGTACAAATTACATTATTCAATATAATTTAATATTGTATGACAATACAAGTTTAGTGACCTACTATAATGAAATAATAACTTGTTAAATCTATATTTCAGATTAAATGACAATCATTCTATTATTATTTGCGTGTGTTATTTTCTTCCTACATACATATTTATAAAATATGTACATATATTATTGATATGTGAAAATTTTTACATAAAATATTAAATAAAAATTTGTGCAAACTCATTAAACGTAATGGAAATTTACGTATTTTTATAGTGTAGAACGAATTTATTACGAAATTTTATGATATTATAGATTATAATAGTACGAAACATGAAAACCAAATTAGGTCAAATGCATTCTAAACTTACAATCGAGCATTTATCAATGCTTACGTGTAACATACTAATGTGTACAAATATAAAATATTAAGTCTTATTAATTATTGGGAAAAAAAAGAAAAAATAAGAATTTTAATTTATTAACTTTAATTTATAAAACTGCTTTTTATATTTTAGGTCAAAGGTTTTGTATACATCTATAATCTGACTGGATCAAATTCTTCTTGAATTGATTTTAGGAAAAAATAAAATAAATTGGATAGAATACTCTAATAAATGGACGTATAGGAAATGCATATCTACCTTTTGACCAGAAGGTTAAAAAAATTTTTTACAATCCATTTGAAAATAAATTCGGAGGAAAGAAATTTGAATTCGCAATGGATTTTATTACTCAACTTAATTTAACTTTAATTTTAATAATAGAATTAAATAATATTTTATTGTTACATTTTATTGGGATTTTCAAAAACTTAGGTCTTAATATAAATTATGTATATTCGATAAATCAAAATCAAAAAATTTTCAAATGTGATTCAAATGTAGAATTTTTTGATAAATTTTTACTACAAAAGAAGTTCATTTGAAAATCATAGCATGCTTAAAAATTTGAAGTAAATTAAAATGTTAGATATTAAAAATCTGAAAATGCAAATTTGGTAATTTTAATACATACATATGTAATGATTCAAAAAAAATTATTTCTTAAAAGATATTTAAGATTTAAATTAGAATTTTAAGTATATATTCGAATTATTGAAAATCCCCGTATTGTAGAAAAAAGTTAGAACATTCTTATAAGTTATTCTTATGTTCATATGTGTTAATTGAATTTGTATAATGCAAAATTATTTGAATTTTAAATATTATTTTTACATCTTGAGTTCCAATATTGCAAAAACAAAAGTTTCTATGTTGCATTTAAGCAGTGTCTAAAAATTTAATTTACAATTTTTTCAAATTATTTGCAATATTTGGTTTTATATACTGCCTATCAAAAACTGTATTTTTTAACAATTTGCAAAATGTGATGTTGTAGAAACTCCTGACTCTTGTATTGAAAATATTTATTTTACAATATATAAAACTCAAGATCTTAATTGAAAATCGATTTTTTTCGGAATTTTTTCGAAATTTCTTTCTTTGCAGCAAATTTGAACACACATTTTAATCGAAGGGTGGAGGAGGGACGTGAGAAAGAGTACAATATTGTCCTACAATATAAAAATATTCATTAAATGTATTAATAATTTAAAATATCTTATTTTCTTTTGTTAAATTTAAGAAAATTTTCAGTTTTTTTTTGCAAATTTTACATGTATTTACTTTTTTTTTTTACAATTTCTTTTAATTAAACTTGCGTGTATATAAATATGTATAGTTATTTATTTTAGCAATGGCTATAATAAAAAATATAAATTTATAAGTGAAAGAAAAGCAAATCTTAATTTTTTTTCTTTTGCAAAAAAAAAAAAGAAAAAAAGAAATCTCGTTTATTTTTAGTAAATTACGTTTATTTTATTTTATTTCACATTATTATATATATATATAAATTCATATTATTTTGTACATATTTCTTTTGTTATTTATTATTGAAAATTGTTAATTTTTTTATCTCTTTATTTTTCTTAATTTTGTAATATTGTATATATTTATAAATTTTGCAAATAACATATTAAATTTAAAAAAAAAAAATCCGGTCACTTTTATAATAAAAACGGAAAGAAAATTATTTAAAAAGGTAGATTATAAATATGTATTTAAATTTAAGAAATTTTTTGTATATTTGTAAATTATTTATATTTACATTTTAAATAATCATATAAATTAAGCCCATGTTACATACTTTTATATATAAATCAATTAATATACGTATATTTTAAGTTCATATTGAATTTATATTTTGGAATTATCACAGAATTATTATTGGACATTGTAAACCGATTAATCGCTATTTTAAAAAATATGTTTTGTTAATTATAAAATAATACATGAATGTCTAACACACATAATGTATAAAACTATTATATGTATAACGTATACATAAATAATGCTCAACGTGGAAAAGAGTATACGCAATCAATAAATTTTTACAAAATCAAATGAATAAATTTTTTTATAAAATCCGATTAATTTTAAAAATATCTGTTAATATCAAATTAAATTTTACTCAATATTTTACCAGAATTCGAAATCAATAATATTTGATTAAATTTCAATTTAAATATAAAAATTTTTTTCTTATTTTGTTTTAGAATAAGCAATCAAATTTTTGGATTTTTAAAGAATTGTTTTCTTATTGGATTATTTAATTTCCTTAACTTCTTTTGTTTTAGTTTCCAAAATATTAATTTTAAGATTAAATTGGCAAACCTACGCAATAAATTTTATAATATTAGATTCAATTAATTCGTATAATAAATAATAAATACATTATGAACATATAAATAGACATAAATTATAATTAAATAAAAAAATTTCAATTATATTCAAACTCTTTTGATCAATTTCGTCTAATTTTTTGCATTAATTTCGTTATATATAGAAACAGGCTGTTTTGTAAAATATTAAAAATTTTTATAAATATTAATTTATAATGCTTAAAATTAACAATATTATTAAACAATTTTATAATATATATATATGTATTTGTAATTGTAATTTTCAAATTATATAAAAGTTTTGATTATTAAAATGATTTTTTTAATTGTCTATTTAAAAAAAAAAAACAAAACCTGCGGTTAATAGTTTTTCGTTGTTAAATTAAATATGTATAGGAAAAATTACAAAAATATTCTATTTTATATAATTTTTTAATAATTAAAAATATTTTGTATTTGAAATTGAATTTAAAAATTTCAATTTTATAAATGTGTTTTTTTTCAACTAAAAATTTATTAATGTAGAGAAATTATGCAAAATTTTTATCAAAATAATATATAAAAATATAAGAAAAGGTCTTAAAAAATTTTAATATAATAAATTATAAAAATTTAATTTTATATATTTTTCATGTTTTTTATAATTTTTTTTTTTTTTTAGAAACACAAACATTTTATTTTTTATTTTATTTAATAATGTGTTTAATCAGTTTTTTTTTTTAATAAATTTTGTATTTTTTTTAATTATTTTATCTTTGTTTTTTATATCGTAATTAACAAAATAGTGGTTATAATTAAATTTTTTTTATTTTAAATTTTTATATAAAAGAACTTGTTTTTTTTTTATTAATATTATTATAAAAACTGTTTAATTTTCTTAAGGGAAAATATTGTGGAAAGAAAAATATAACAACAATAAGAAAAAGAGAAAATTATAATAGAAATTTTAAAAATAAATAAAATAAATATTCGCGATTCCACCACCTTCTCTAATAATAACAATTTTACACCGTCTTTACCGAAGAGCTTTAGAAGACTGATTGTGCAACATATACAATTTAAATTGTACAAAAAAAAATATACAATTTTTTTTTTCACTATAATTTTCTTTATAATACAAAAAAAAAAAGTAATAAAAGAAAAATATAACAATAGCAAAACTTTAAGACGAAAAAGAAAGAAACAACACAATTTTAATAAAAAAAAAAAAACAAAACAAGAAAAATAGAAAATAAAAAAAAAAGCACAAAACTTTGAATAATATACGATCAACAGGCACTACACACCCTACACACCAATAATGATAACCATTTGAGAGTATGTATTTACTTGTATGTGTATAAATGTATAATTTCATCATTTAACCGTTGTTATTAAACGGTATAAAGTTTTTATTTTCAACTTTTAAGCTTTGGATACTTTAATACTTTTACAATTTTCTCATAGGTGACAAAATGATTAAAATATACAAAAAATATTTTCGAAAAAGCTCTGTTACAACTTAATTTTGTACTGCTACCAACATGTGAAAAAAAATTTCAATGTGTAAAATAATTCTTTCGTCGAGCATTTTAAAAAAATAATACGATATTCATCAAATGTTTGTATAAAATACTCGAACCAAATCGACAATTTCGAATTTCTTTTTAATTTTTTCCCAACTTATAAATATCTTTGATGAAATAAAGATTCCATCGCTTTATTGCCTACTAAAAAATATCTAAAGAAATGGAATTTTATAGCATAGCAATAAAATGATAGAATTATTTAGCATAGCAATAAGTTTGCTTAGAAGAATAAACAAATTAGATTAAAACAAATTGTAAATGCATAAATACTTTAAAATTGAAATTTGAAGTATGTATACCTACTATTCTTGAAAAATACGTTTGCCGGAATATTAGAAAATACATGTATAGCTTTTACCAAACCACCCCTCTTATGAAGGGAGACGAACAATTAATTTTGTTCGTTTTTGCATGTTATGTGTTGCATTTAATCTTTAAATTAAAATTAAAATTTTACACAAAATACAAACATAAAAATATACTTTTTTAATGTTAATTTATTTATTTTAATAAAAATAAAAGTTAATAAACAAATTAATAGAAAAAAAAACAACAAAATATACATCATATTTATTACTAAAATGAATTACAAAATCTAATGATGTAAATACATATAATAAATAATTTATACATATATAAGTCTCTATATAAGAATTATGAAACATAAATTCTATAATTTTTAATACGTTCCAGTTCCCGTTGCTTAATATCTTCGCTCAATATTGGATATTTTTGCATCATTTTATGAAAAATATATCCATCAAAATATGATATTTTAGAGTAGCGATATAATCCGCAGACAGCTAACGAACTTCTAAAAATTTCCAAAAGACGATTATATACTAAAGAAATCCAAACGTGTCTTGATTTAACTATTTCAGGTGGTTTTAATGACAATAACTTTTCCATACTAGAATTCATGGCTTCATTTATAGAAATTAGTAAAATATCAGCTTCTTCAATTGTAATTTGGGCTTCCTGTAATAAAAAAAATACAAGACTTATATAAATATATGAAAAGAATTTAATTACTGTAATTGAATATGCATTAAAATAGAAAAAATGGAAACTTAAATAATTTTCCATATACGTTTTAATATAAACAAAAAAATAAATATCTATTCCCATAATCGTTGTTAAAACTAATTTAAAGTAATTCTTACCTTTACAAGGTAATTGCCACACATCATAGGTAAAAGGAATGGACTATCGCGAAATTTAAGCAACTGTTCAGTTGCTAAAATTTCATTTTTTGTAGAAGATACCCAACAAAGCAATGAAAACTTTTCTTCTTCAGTAACAGTATTTTCCATATTCTCTGAATCACAATCTCCTGAAGTACAATTTGATGATCGTAGCAGATCTTCTAAATTTGGTACTGTTCCATTTTCATAGTAAATTGGAGAAAATTTTTTTATTTGATATGGCTCCTCATGACTTGGTTTGAAACATATATCTCTTTCAGGATATTTTTCACGTTTATGATCCAATAATATACCCATTTGACGACGAACTATTGGTATTACTAGTTCGCTATATGGTTTAAATTCGGTAAGTGACATATCCATCCATGATTGATTTATAGTTAAAATAAAATCTTTCAGTATCATGTAAGGCACTATTGAATTTGTCGATTGAATGTATTGTTTCAACCATATTTCCACATTTGGTTTTTCACGTTTATCCTAAAAAGTCCAAAAAATTACATAGAAATACATTAAATAATTTTTTAAGAACTAATTTTTAATAGATGTAGATTTACTATAGTTTTTTTAATTGGTAATGATTTAGACATAAACTTACATAGTTATAAGAATTCAAACTGCAGCTTACGATTTCTTTGGCTTTTTGTAAAGTAATATTATTGTTACCATAATTATAAACTAGTTTTGCCAGTTTATTGAATTGATCTTTTGTGAGAGGAACACCTCTTGGAAATTCTTTCAAAATATATTCTGCCAAATATTTTTGTTTTGGTTTTTCCTTATCTTCGCTTTTATGGAGATACTAAAATAAGAACTTTTCTAAATACAATATTGATTGTTTGATATTTTAATTTTATACCTTATTTATATATACCTACCTGAACATATTCATATTTTACGAAATCGTTTCCAGATAAAGTTGAAAAAATTGGCATATGGTTTTTTCTCAAATTCAAGTTTTTCAGTAAATTCATTTTATTCCATGCAAAAATTGTAAATTGATCTCTATTGAAAAGAATTGATATCCAAACCTGCCAATTTCCAGGAAAAATTAAAAAGTCTGTGTCACATGTAACTACAGCTAATGCTTTACATTGTGTTGCATAATTAGCTATATCTAAATCACATTCATTTGCAAATGATATAGAAATTTTTGAATAACTTCTAATTGTTGTAAGAAAATTATTTATATAAACTGACATTTTATGAGAAGGTGAAAATATTTTCGGTTTTTCTTCATTCCTTATGTATTCAAATATATTTTGTTGATTCAAATACTTTTGATTTGAGTTTTCAATATGATGCGGTATTTTACATTTTTTAATTGGCCCATCAATAAAGAAAACTAATTCAGCTCCAAGTTCTTTAAAGTGTTCACAAAGTTGTTTTGCATAATTTGCACATACTATTTGACGACCTCCAGTAAAAACATCCATAGGATCTTTATCAGCTACCATAGCAATGCAAGCCATAAAGTCAAATATTATCTTTGGCGTTTCATTTGGATTTCGTCTGAAATGAATTTAAAAAATAATTGCCCTATTACAATAACCATTTTTCACTTTCTTAGATTATATAATCAAAAAATTTACAAATTTTCTCTTGCATTATGCTAAAAAGGATATGTTAACTTACGTATGTATGTACATATGTTCAAAGTTAAAAAGAACAAGCAAAAGAAAAAAGAAGTGATATAATAGGATTAAAGATCTTTTTATTTTTTAATGAAAAAAATTCCTTAAAGAGTTATCTTCAATCGTGCAGTAGACATAATAGACGTATTAGTTTAAACTAGTAGGTTTATTGTAGACATAATGTTTAAACTATTCTTTGAACTTTAGGTCTATTGAGGGCATGTGCATATGTACATAAAATGTATATTTGCATAATGAACAATTGAAAGAAAAAATTCCGTTCTTAAGTTTTTAAGAACAAACCATTACACATATATAAATGATTGGATATTATACATTATAGCTATACATATGTATAATATGTTCTTATGTAGATTCTCCAATAAAATAAAGTTGTACTTGGTTTATGGCAAAATCAACTTTAATTTGTTACGCAATTTAAATAATAATGAAAAATTCGAATTCAAACGGAGGACTTACTATTTGCTATCTAATTCGATTTTCATATTCGGAAAAATGATAAGGTACCTTTCCATTTCTGTAAATACGAAAAACGAATTAAATAGTAAAGCCCCTTTCTTTTTGGAATTGTTGAATGGAAATATATTATGCAAAAATTTCTAATGCATTCTAATGAATCACAAAAATATTACGATTAAAATTGCGGGGAATTCCCTTTTACGTAAAAATTTTTTTTTTTTGAATCCATAAAAACTTTTGCTGTGTACATTGCAATGCAATATCTAAAAAAAGAAATTATTGTCTATCTAAGTATATATATATATATATATATATATATATACATAGATAAGTGGGCACTTAATTTTGTTTTTTAAATATATCACATATGTATGTACACACATATAAATACAAATATATTACATATATATATTATGTATTTATGTACTTAAATATATTTATGAACATATATATTTATATATTTTATTATATACATATCGATGTTTATGAATAATAAGCCGCAATTATTGTTGCATTCACGTTATTTATACGCGTAAAGGTAAATAAGGATCTTGTTATATTTGTTCCTGATTTAGAACGATATTGGGTACGTACACACTTAAAATGAAGATAATTTTTGAAATGGTTTTTAATATCTTAAATTTTTTTTATTACTTTTTAAATTTTTCAATTTCTTCTTTAATATTCACTCTGTAATATGCACCACGGCAATGATTTCTATCTCTCATGAAAGTTGCCAAATGTTTCACCATCTTATTAAATACATATATTACTTTTTATTAAAAAAAAAATTTTCTTTTTATTTTTGTAGCAATTAAATCAAATAATTTCAATTTAATCAAAATTACAATCACACACAGAACTGCCAAAATGCAGTTTCAATGAAAACGAAATGAATTTCTAATAAAAGTTTAACCTAATCGCAATGTCAACAAAAATTACAAATACAGTGGCATCTTACGGAAAAAGAATAAACATTTTTATTACTGTAAGAAAATAAAAAATTACATTATGTAGGAATTAAAATCTTGAAAATTCTCATAATTTTATTAAAATGTTTTATGAATATGTCATTGTTTTTAATTGAAATTTTTGGGATCATTTAACAATTTTGTAAAATATTTAATTTGTAAAAATAGAAACTAATTTAATTAAAATTGTTTTTTGCACATTGTGTCACATTGTGTGCTGATACAGTCAATACTGTGCTGATTAAATTGATATATTGAGTCAGCGACGCAATTGACTTTCGAATTTATCTCATGGCATTTGGAATTGTCAAATTTACTATCTATCATTATTCAATGAAGAAGCAAAAATAAAAGTCATTCAATATAGTATTGTATTTTAACTACTTAAATAAAAATTAATAATTTGCTGAAAATATGGCAGATATTAAATGTTTATATCAAGACATTAAAACCGAATGGAATAAAACTACTCCTAATTTAAAAAAGTGTGAACCTTTAATTAATGATCTTAAGGTAAGATGCTTTCAAAAAAAAAAAAAAAAAATGTAGGAAATTGAAAACACCAAAAATAAATTGCTTAAATTAATCAAACGTTAATTTTATTAATTCAATGATATTTTTAGATCGCTCTCACTAAACTTTCATATTTACCAACTGGAGAGTTAACAACACTTTCCAAAGATGAAATGATTTTGTCTCGTAATATATTGGAAATTGCTGTTGAATATAGTGTTGCTAGCAAGGATATACCAGCATTTGAAAGATATATGGCACAATTGAAATGTCATTATTATGATTATAAGTAAGTATATAGTTTTATACCAGAAGAATCATTTGCAATAATTTTAAATAAATATTAAATTTTTAAGAAATATAATTGGCGGTTCCGAAAATATGTATAAACTTCTTGGTTTGAATTTATTGTTTTTATTATCAGGAAATCGTGTATCCGATTTTCATATTGAATTAGAACTTTTACCAGCTGAAGTGATTCAAACAAACGAATTTATAAGACCAATTCTTGCCTTAGAGCAATATATAATGGAAGGTCGTTATAATAAAATATTTGAAGCAAAGGTAATTTAATTTTTTTTTTTTTTGTGAAATCAAGAAAGTAATTTTATTTATTTGCGTAAGTAGAATGGAACTCATCCAGAAATATACAATTTTTTTATGGATTTACTTTTGGAAACAGTTCGAGATGAAATTGGCGCATGTATAGAAAAATCATATGATAAAATTTCTATCAAAGAAGCCGCTAAACGATTGAATTTGAAGAGCAAAGATGCAGTTCGTGCATTTGGAGCAAAAAAGAAATGGCATCTTGAATCAGATGAAGTATTTTATTTCAGTACTAATGTAACAAAACCAAAAGAACCTCTTCCATCAACAGAGTTAGCAGAACAAGTAATATTTTATGCTAGAGAATTGGAAATGATTGTTTAAATAAGCTTAAGATTAATAAATTTTTTGTATCATTCTAATAAGGTATTTTAATAAAAATAAATTAAAAGTTGATTTTCTCTTTTTGACTGGTAAGAAATTTTTGATAATCATCAATTCAAAAAAGAAATTAAAAGCAGTTTCGTTAAAAACTTTCCTCATTTTACACACTCTTTAAACTATTACGAGATCGTTTAAGCGTACTTCGTGATATATTCTAGTACAAAGAATTTACTGAATGAATTTTAGATCAGTAAAATCCACTACACTACATTTCACTCCAGAAGAATAATTGTAAACCAGAAAAATCTCTTTAATTTGAAAAGACTTACTTAATATGGCGGATCGGGTACGTAACTTAAAATTTCAATCTGTACAGTTTACAAATATTGCTTGGACTTAGCTTGAATTTGATATTGGCTTAATTGAATTTGATTTACCAATCGTTATATATTAGTTTGTCATTTTCAATCTCCCAATCAAGCTAATAGTTTTATCGGTTCGACAACTTGAAAATTTCAAGGAATATTTTTCAAAAAATAATAGTAATTTGGCAAGTCACTTTTTTGGATTGTCATCTGAATGTCAAAATTTAGTGTGGTCGTGTATACAAAAATATCAACCCCCACCTAACAAAAAAAAAAAAATGCGTCATTTGATTTTATTAAATTTGTGATTCTGTAAAATAAATTTAGACAAAGAATTTGGTTCATATAATTACGAAGCTTACGAAAGAAAGATCTTTTTTTATCAATAGTTCAGAATAAATAATTAAATAATTTGATTATTAGTCAGTGAAGATAAGAAAAAGTCATCTTAATTAAGAACAAAGAATTGAGTTTAAGAAAAAAAATGAAATCACTGTGCTTCGTAGTAGGCACTTTTTTGATTGGATTTGCGTTTTTATCGCAAGTTCAAGGCAGAGGTTTGATAGGTAGCTCACAATGTACTTGGGGACCATCATATTGGTGTTATAATATAACTAACGCGAAAAATTGTAATGCAGTCCGCCATTGTATTCAAACAGTTTGGGAAAAACAAACGGTTTCGGAAGATAATGACTCAATATGCAAAATATGTCTTGATATGGTAAAACAAGCCAGAGATCAGTTAGAAAGTAATGAAACGCAAAGTGATATAAAAGAAGTGTTCGAAGGTTCATGTAATTTAATACCATTAAAACCAGTTCGAAAAGAATGTATAAAATTTGTAGATAATTTTGCTCCAGAATTAGTAGAAGCTCTTGCTTCTCAAATGAATCCACAAGTTGTGTGTTCAGTAGCAGGATTATGTAACAATGCAAACATAGACAAAATGCTTGAAGAGATGGTTACAGAAAGACCTGAAGAATTCGTTTCAACTGTAAAACCAACAATGATAGTTAGAAAGCAAAGTTTATCATGTGATGAATGTTCGAAGGTTGCTGACATTATAGTTCAAAAGTTCCAAAAGATTAGTCGTGATGATTTCTTAGAACACATGCTACATGCTTGTGGTTTATTTAATTCATTTTCAGATGCTTGCGCTTATGTTGCAATTACCAACTTTGAAACAATTTATGCACAAATTCAAAAAGATATTAGTGTAAAGAATATTTGCCATTTAAGTGGAGTTTGCGCTGTATCATATTATCATCAGCATGAAGATAATGTTGGAGAAATTGACGTTAGACCACTGTCTTCAATTGGAGTTGTGCCTCATGATTCTGTAGAAAAATTAAATGATGATGATGTTGCTTGTGAATTATGCGAACAATTAATACGACATATGAGGGATGTTTTAACAGCAAATACTACCGTTTCAGAATTTAAACAAGTTTTAGAAGGAATTTGTAAACAAACAAAAAAATTCAAAGATGAATGTTTAAGCATTGTTGATCAATATTACGATGTAATTTATAACACATTAGTAAATGATTTGGATCCAAATGGAGCTTGTTTCATGATTGGCGTTTGCAAAAAGGGGTCACCTACTTTGGATTTCACAAATCGCCCGATAATGCCGTTATTACCGTCATCACTTCCATCTAAATATCAAAGAGAAACAAAACCAAAGAAATTACTTGGTGCAGATGAGCCAGTTTTCCTAAAAGAAGAAATTCAAGCTATGCAATTACCAATAGATAAATTAATGGGTGCACCTAACGCTGCCGATTTAATTGAAAATGGGGAATTATGTACTTTCTGCGAGTACTTTTTACATTTTGTTCAAGAAGCTTTATCGACACCCTCAAATGAAGACAAAATTAAGAAAATTGTTGGTAATACTTGCGATAAATTACCAGGTGCAGTCCAAAATGAATGCCACAATTTTGTTGATATGTATGGTGACGCGGTCATCGCTTTATTGATACAAGGTATTGATCCCAGTCAAATATGTCCAGAAATTAAATTATGCCCAAAAAATGTAAAAGACATGGAAGTTATATTGCCAAATCCTGTTGAAGTAAATCACGAGGTAGAAAATAATAAACCAACATGCCCATTATGCTTATTTGCAGTTACCGAAGCCAAACAACTGATAAGTGATAACAGAACAGAGGAACATGTGCAAGATGTTTTAAATAATTTATGTTCGCATATGAAGAAAAATTTGAAACAGGAGTGCCTTGATTTCGTGAAAACTTATTCAAAAGATTTAATTGAAAAATTACTTAGCAATGTGACACCACAAGAAATTTGTGAATACCTTAAACTTTGTCAGGATATTGAAGAAACAATTGATATACAAATAATTGATAATTCTGATCATGAAATTCAAACAAACGAAATATTAGATAAAACCATAGGTGGTATCGATTACAGTTATAACATAGGAAACATCGAATGTACGTTATGCAAAAAAATTGTAAAACGAGCTGAATCTGAACTAGTCAATACAAATAAAACCAAAGAAGATATTATTAAAGCTTTAGAAAAAGCATGTGAACAAATACATCAAATTAAAAAAGAATGTCCAAACTATATAAATAAGTTTGGAAATAAAATTGCTGATTTAATTTTAGAAGAATTGGCACCTGAGGAAATTTGCCGACAAATGTTACTTTGTTCAACCGAAGAAGATTCAAATATAGATTCTTCATTGAATGTTGAAATTGTATCGAAAGCAATTGAATATGATGATCAATCATCTCCATTGAATGGTGGCCAAGAATGCGTTTTATGTGAATTTATCATGGCTAAATTAGAAAATGAATTAAAAAATAAAAAAACTCAAGATGAAATAAAAACGACTGTTCATAATATATGTAAAAAAATGCCAAAAACTGTTGCATCAAATTGTGATAAATTCATTGACAAATATAGTGATTTAATAATTGCACTTATTGATACTATGCCACCAAAAGAAATATGTACAAGAATAAATCTTTGTTTTTCACATGAATTTCATGTTGACGCAATTGAAGAAATTACAGAATGTGGTGTTTGCCATGGTACTGTATTAGCTTTATATCCATTAATTAAAGAAAATTCTGATATGAATGAAGAAGATATTATTATTGAAGCTTGCAATGAAATTCCAGCAAAATATTATGGAAAATGTTCAGATTTGATTGCATATTATGGTGAAAGCATTTTCAATTTAATTAAACGTAATACTGATCTTTCAATAATTTGTCAAAATATTGGTAAATGTTACGTAGATGAAAAACCATTACAATCTTATCATAAAATTGGTGGTAATATTATGAAAAATCGTAAGAAACGTTCAACAAATGAAAATACAATTGTTGGGGCAAGTAGATGTACATGGGGACCATCTTATTGGTGTGCCAATGAAAAGAATGCAGATGAATGTAACTCTAGATCATGGTGTGTAGAGAAAAAAGCTGGATTTGCTGCTGCTTAAAAACTCTATATTTTTCTTATATATTTAATCTTTCTCTTATTTAGAAAGTACCTATGCATTCATATTTTTTTTTATATATATTTACTGAATATACTTTTAATTTTTAATTAATTTCTCATGTCTTTTTAAAATGGCAAAATAATTAATAAAATATTGAACGAACAAATTTTTAGTTATAAAAATAAGTTTTATTACTATAAAATTGTAATCGAAAATAAATGAAAAAAATTAAAGCTGTGAATTAATAAATAAAAATTTTGTTTATTAAATATCGTAAAAAATTAAAGAAAATCAGTTACAGTGTCTGAATTTGGATAGATTTAAAACAAAATACAGATTAAGAGCACATATGTATTTACAATTTACATATTGTTAAGAAAAAATAAACCAAAAAATTTATTCAATATTTTTATTTTTAAATTAGATGATAACCTTTTTTGAAAACTTGATATTTGTATGAACTGTAATGATATTCTATTAACAGTGCCAATTATATTATGCTACTTATATTATTGAAAAAAATAAGTGTGAGAGTAAGCTGATAAGATAGTGTCTTGCACAGATTAATCATAAAATTAAAAAAAAAAATTTAATTTTGCTTTAAAACGCATAAAAATTGACACATATTTTTTTAAAATTATTTCAGCATAATAACAACTTAGGAAGGGTTCTTGCTCCATCAATATTTTGCGTAAGAGATGATTATTTCATTTCATTGTTTCTTATTGTAATCTGTTTTTAAATTTAATGTAAAAAGCAGTTGTTCTTTGTTTTTTATAAACACATTTAATTATGACTAAGTAATGAAAATTACTTAAATTCATTTATGGATAATTGAAAAACTAAGCTCGTGGATTATGTAAAATAATTTTTTTTTTTAGTTTTTGAAAATTCGCAAAAAATATTTATGACTCATAATAACGACGACATATCAATTGTATTACATTTCCAAATACTACGCAAAACATCTGTTAGTTAAAAATAAAACAATAAATTTTTCTTTTGGAAATTTAAATTAAATAGTTTAAAAAATATGTTTGTTATCTACAACAAAAATTAACATTATACATATCTTTTAGTTGGAATAAAACATTCCATATCATTACATTCAAAAATCCATAGAGGCTTTACAATTTCGCCATTGAAATTATTTAAATTCAAATATTTATCACGTTGACTTGTAATTATATAATTGACTCTTTTGGTTGTCTCACATATAGAACCACCAAATTCTTCAATCATATGTGTTAATTTTTTCCTATCTACATCACTTAAATTTGGTTCCAAATAAAATTTCATATTTGCAAAAAAATTGTTTCCATTTTTTTGTAGTTTAAGTTTTTTTGATTTTGTAAACTCATCTTCATCGGTAGTCACATCATAAATATCTTTTGTTTTTTCCTCAACAGTAATAATATCTTCAATTTTATCGTCTTCATCAATAATATTAATAATTGGTTTTTGCGTTTCTTTTTTGTGTTTTTCGGAGTTTTCCTTTAAATGATCATTTCCATATGAAATACTTTCTTTTATTTTAATAGGATATTTGTTTGGAGTTTTTATAGTTTCTTTCGAATCTTTCGACGTTGAAGGTTCTGGAGAATGTTTGATATTTTTTTTGATAATTTCTGGTGAATTAGGCTTTAGCGATATATCTAATATTTCTTCATCACTTTCAGATTTAGCTTCATCGTCGGAATTAAGAGCGTACTTTCGCCAGGGTAATCGTTTTTTAAGATTATAACAATTTTCAATCCATGACTTTTTAACTATTTTACCTCCGCTATCTTTGACCTGATTATATTTTGGTGTATTTTTGAATGCGCATCTAAGTATAAATTTTTAATGTAATAACAAAATGGAATAATGTATGTAAATATATTCATATAATTACATTAAATGAGTACATGTGTTATCCCAGTCTGGTTTATATTTAGCTCCAAGCTCTAAAGCTTTACTTCTTAAATTGGCCCGATGAGGATTCTGTACAAAAAAAAAAGAAATTTATGAAAATAAAGCATCATAAATACTCATTATAAAAACTTACTTGAATTCCACTAATAACTAAAACAACACCATCCAATAATCTATTGAACGGCTTATAATTACGACTATTCTTTTTTCGTTTGGGATCCGGTGAATTCAATTCTTCTGATGGTCTTTTTTTGTTTTTGCTGGTCTTAAAAGAACCTGATTCTGGTGACTTATCAACAGGTATTACTTCATCATCTGATGAATCATTTTCAAAGAGGTCTTTAAAAATTTTAGAAGATAATGAATTATTTTGTTGTCCTTGTTTTTTTTGCTTAGAATAATCTTGTTGGGAATGTGATGTTTTCGTATTATGCTTCTCGATTTTTTTATTTATTTGAAATTTTTCATTATTCTTTTCAAGTTTTTGTTTATCTAATGCAATTTTTCTTTCAAATTTATCATTAGAACTGTTGTCATCGTTATTGTACAGTATATCATCTCTATTTCTATCTAATATTGTAAAATCTTTTTGGTCATGTTTAGCTAAAATTAGAATTTGAAAATCTAAAATAGGAAAAAAAAATTCTAATTAATTTTTACCAACCAGAATCAGAATGTTTATTAAAGCTAATTTTTTTTTCTGATCCGATTTGTTGAACATTCCTAGAAGCATCACGGATTGAGGCGGCTGTATTTTGCTTGCTCTCAATTTCTGAACTTAAGGAATGTGTTTTCCATCTACTAAACAATGTTGTTGACTTGCCATCATCATCATCATCATCTGAATTATCACGCAGTTTAAAGTTACCAATAAATTTAGAGGAATTCATTTCTGAATCGTTCGTTTTCGTTCCAATTATTTTATGTTGTTGATCTAGAAATCTTTGCGGAACCAATTCTTTTGATTCAGATGAAGCAATATGGACTTTCACTAGAGATAATCCGTATTGTACATGTTTATTAAAAGGTTGGGTACATATAAACTTTATTAAGCTCCATTTTTCATCTGCATTAATTTGAATCCAAGATTCGTCAGATTTATTAAAACATCTAATACGATTAATATTGGTGGAGTTTTTGGATTCAATCGGTGTCATAAATGATGATGTTAGCACAAGTTCCTATTGCACATTGTAAAACAAAACAGCATATTTAAAACACAAATAAATGGTGATAGTTTTTATTTTAGTCTCAGATGGTATTTGGAACCTACTTTAAAATCTTCAGGTGAACATCCATTTTTTCCAACTAAAACTTCAATGAAAGCTGAATGTTCATTACCTATATCAACACCAGTAATAATTTCAGGTTGAGCCAATTGTAAGATTATATAGGCCGATTTTTCACCATTCGTACCAGTTTTCCATTTTTTTCCGGGTATACTCTTTAATAAATTTGATGCGCAATGTGTCTATAAAAAATGTAAACAAATACGTATTTAACTCAATCAATGCATGATTGAATAACTAAAGTTAAATTACTTACAGAATCTTCACTGCTTACTAAATAAACCTTTTCAAATGTTGCGAAAGGCATTTTTAATTATTAAAACTAAAATTTTGAAAACAAATGCTATGACACTCTAGCTTTGTCTATTTTCCCTCTTATTTATGTTATGAAATCTCCGGTATATAATTATGTATTAAAATTTGTATTTACAAGCATGCCGTCACCAACAGGTGAAGGGATCGATATTATAGAAGATATCGATATTTTGGAATTGCTTTATTTTAAACTTCAATTTTGATTTTATGTGACTCTTCTACAATTGAAGGCAGCGTGTTTACACTTTTAACATTTTTCACTAATTTTTTTTGACGGCTATCAACCAAAATTCAAACTTTGCTGATAGCCGTCTCATAGATACACTCGCTGAGTAGCTGTCATATGAACATTAAAATAAATTAACAATTTAATGTAAGATGAAATCTCTTAAGCATTTATGAATAAATATCTATAAACTGACAAATTGAAATTATTAAAAAACAAAAATCAGCTGATCGTGACAAAGTTTTTTGAAAAATTCAGTTTGAGTAATATTTTTTCAAAATATCTGATACAGAATCTAATGATAATTGCCTGGTTTTCTATATTTTCCGACAGATTAACGTTTACGACAAAACTTATATACATATATCCAATATTCCGTTTTATAATTTTTTTTATAAGTTTTTCAATTAAAGTTAAGTTTTTGAATTTCAATTTATAGTTAAGTTTTTGAATTTTTTTTCAAAACAATCACCCAATAAAATTATATTGCTGAAAAAATCATAGCTAAGTTGTATAACAGCTGAATGAGCTAAGTTTCGATGATGATATTATTTGATTAAAGAATTTGTCAGAAGTAAAAGGTAGATTCATTGGTTCCTTGGTTTTTAACTGAATAACTTTTTCTTTTATTAAAAACCAATATAAATTTTATTTGACCAAAATAGTATTTATTTGGGAAATTGTATTATATAAAACAGATCTTTGACTGTTTTTTCAAAATTTTGTCAAAAATCGAAAATTTTTTAAAATTTTGTACGACCTTGTCAAAAAATCGAAAATTTTTAAAATTTTGCACGACCCCCTACCTTGTCAAAAAATCGAAAATTTTTTAAAATTTTGCACGACCCCCTACCTTGTCAAAAATTGAAAATTTTTTAAAATTTTGCACGACCCCCTACCTTGTCAAAAAATCGAAAATTTTTTAAAATTTTGCACGACCCCCTACCTTGTCAAAAAATTTAAAAATTTTTAAAATTTTGCACGACCTTTTTAAAATTTTGCACGAAATTTTTTTAAAATTTTCCTGGACCCCCTACCTTGTCAAAAAATTTAAAATTTTTTAAAATTTTGCACGACCTTTTTAAAATTTTGCACGAAATTTTTTTAAAATTTTCCTGGACCCCCTACCTTGTCAAAAAATTGAAAATTTTTTAAAATTTTGCACGACCCCCTTTGAAAAAATGAACCTCTAATTTCAGAAATTGGCATTAGTTTTTAAAATAAACTGAGAAACTTAAAGTTTTATACACATAGTTATTTATAGTTAAACACACGCACATTCACACATTGTTATTTTTAACATTAGATTTTATTATTCAATTTTTTCTCATACAAACATTTTTAAAATCACTTAATTAAAATTTTACATACATAACTAAAATTTTTTAATACAAATAATTATTTAATTACAAATCCATTGAGGGCAACAATCAGGGAAAGGTTTTGAAGTATCTGGTGTTTTCTTGAAACATTTTTCTTCTGTAGATTTTTCTTGACATCTGTAATTATAAAAATACAATATAAATTTTAAAAAATGCCTAAAATAACTCTTGAATTAATTTATTTTCTATTATATCCATTAGGATTTAAATTTCAGATTATGTAAATACATTTATTTCCACTATATTATTACACTATTGCAATTTTGAAATAAATGTATGGTACAGGTACTTACCCAGATGTTATAGCTTTGTTTAATCCTGTACATTTAACAAGCTCACATTTTCCTGGTACTGTTAATTCATCTCCAGCCTCAATAAAATAACCGTCTACATTACAACCCTCTAAAAATTTATAAATAAATATATTCATATATATAATTAGAGATGCTAAGGTTCGAATTATTTTATGTTTATTTTATTAGGTACATGTACAATAATTTTTATTACTTTTTGGAAGAGTTTGGGGATGACATTGTCCAATAGCAATTAATGCAAATAATACACAATTTACAATTAAAAATTTCATTGTTTCTAATAAGATAAATATTTTCTTTAAATTTGTTTTTTATTAATATAATAAAAATCTATTCTTTTCTTATCGATTACTATTTTATTTATAAAATTATTTGATTATTTAACAACATTTATATATAACCAAAATCAAAAAATATTTAAATTTAAAAGAGCTTTTGCTTTTTTTTTATAATTTTATGGAATAATTTGATTTTTGTTGGGTTAGGAGAAAAAAAAAATATTGTACCGAGTGTATTCAGCATTTAGTCCAAGTTAATTTTTTTTTGAATTTGATGAAAGTCGTATTACGTTGTAATACGACGAGAGTAAGAATAAGAAATTAGACTTAATTGTCTTACGTCAAATAATAGAAATTACTCAATTCTGTTTCTCTCAAGACGGACAGTCTGATGAGAATAATATATTAATAATATAATTAAATATTAAATAATTTTTTTGAAGTCTGACTCCCTCTAGTATTTCCAGTCCAATATGTAATATTTCAGTTTATCTTATGCGTATACAATCGTAGATTTAATCTTAGATTTTGTCGTATATGTAAACACTATTTTAATGAACGCCTTACAACATGACTGAAATAATTTTTCGCATCTTATAAAATTTTCCAAAATAAATGACACCCTCTATTAAACAATTACATATCACATTATTACTTCATAAGGTAATTAAATATAAATTCTAAAACCAGTAATTTTATTTGCCAAAATAAAAAAAAGAACTGAGAAGATACTCTCAATTTGTTTTTATTTTTGTTGGCCTGAGAATTAATTTTAGTTGAAATTTTAGCAGATTCTTAATAATTAATATAATTATGAATATTGATAATTTGATTATAATTTTGAAAAGAGTAAAGATTTTATTAATTTTTTATTTATTTTATTTATATACACACATATATATTTTGTTGATGTACACATACTTACACATACATATATTTTTTAGGCAAATAAGCAATTCAATATTGTATATCAAAGACTTTTAATATGGATGGGTAAAATTATTCTAAATTTGGAAAAGCAAATATTTTCATAACAATATTAATTCTAATTTTTATCTATAGTTTCAGAAAACATTAATTAATTCTAAAATACATATGTAGAAATTATTGAATGATTTGACGAATAAGCTCTGTATAGGTTGAAAAATAAAAATTCAAATTTAAATTCGATAAAATCAAAACTTCAAATTTGAGAGAAGGAAGAGAGGAGAGCAAAAAAAAGGGAATGATTTTTGTTTACTATTTTACAAAAGGAATATTTTCAGGATTAAGGGCCAAGTGCCAGGAAAAATTGTATATTTAAATAAGAGAAGAGAAAATAGGTAAATATAAGTAAATATTTTTAAATTTTAAAAACTAAAAATTGTAAAAATTTCAAAAAAGCTTTCAACTTACATTTTAAAAATTATAATTAATTTGTGTTAAAAGTTAAATTTAAAATAAATATTTTTAATTTAAATAAAATATTTATTTAAAAAAACAAAAACAATCTTATATAACATAAAATTTTTTAAAAATCTATTTCTTGATATTCAGAACCATCAGCATTTTTACATGTATATTTTTTCTTACAACATTCTGGAAATGGTCGTTGTATATTAAGTGGATTAGTACTGGTGCAACTTTTAAATTCTGGTTTACTATCAGGACATCTATATTAAATACATTCAATACATTTAATAATTGTAATAAATATACTAATATTTAATTATCACTTACAAATGGCCACTTATCCAACTCTTTGGTGAACATATAAGTCGAACACATCTAAAATCAACTTGAATTTCACCTGGTGGAACTATTTGATCCTTATATACGCACATACCGGGATGATCTATAGTGTTTATGTTAAAAACAAAAAAGTAAAATAAAAATTATAAAAAATATTAATAATCAAAATTAAATTCGTTGAATTTTTTTTTTGTCATTGAAATTAATGGAAGTTTTAAGAGAATAATGCGCATATGTACAAACAAAAAATAATTAATTTTAATTTTTGAAAATTTATTCATGATTAAATTCTATTGTAATTGCTATTCTTTCTGTCATTTTTTGTTGCTATTAAAATTTCAAATGTCGCAATGGGGTTTGTTGCAATGGACAAAACGCTTGATAATAATTTACCTGGATGGCCTGCATATTGTGAAAATGTTCCAGATTGTACTAGTCTTAAATTATTCGTGAACATTACAGTTAAAAAATAAAATATACTAAATATAACTTTATTCATTTTGTTTTTTCCTTTTTCAATAAAATTTGGATATAAAAATTTTTTTATTTCAAATTCAACTAAAATTTTTTTTTAAATTTTCATTCTCTTTTATATAAGAAAATTATTTCCGAAAAATATTTTTTCTTTCTTAAATTTTGCTTGCTTTGTATTTTTTTTTAATCTATAATAATTTTTAATAATATTTTTATTATTATTAAAATTAAATAATTCAGAATTAACCTTTTCATGTATGTATATTTAAAAATAAGAAAAGAACCAAAAAAATGGGATTCTTTAAAAAAATTGTTATAATTTATAAATATTTATTAATTTAAAATTGAATGAGGTGGTCAGCAAAAATTAATAAACTGGATTTTAGATTTAATCAAAAAAGCCATATTGTAAATTAAAGATTAAACCTTTAACTATATATTATTTTATTGCGGTTTAATACAAATACAATAATATGCGACATTTTTAATTTAATATTAATAATATTTAGTATAACATGTTCAGAAATTCGAAAATGTATTAAATTTAAGAGTTAATGTCGTAATAAAATCTTTTCTAAATCGTAAATTCCGGGTACAAGAAAGAATTATAAAATGTGCTGATTTTTCGTTAATTTTGTTTATTTGTAATTTAATTACGACCATTATTATAATGTCATTTGAAAAAATATGAAATGTCATCAGGTATACATATTGTATAAAACATTATAGATAGAGAGATAAATTCTTTGAGTCAGAGAGTAAAATGACATCATTGTTCGAATTCTATTTCGATTAAGTATATAATTTTTGTGTACAAAAGCTTTAAACTCTCGCTGGGGGATTACGAAAATATTTCATCATGCGAAATGGGTTCTTTTTGTATCTTACCAAGAGAAATTTTACTTAGTTTGACTTGAAACAGATAAAAATCGGTTAAGTGATTAAATGTGAATCTCTTTTGAGTAGATTTTGTTGAGACGATGGACAGACTATACAAGTTTGCTCATATCCCCTTTTTGAGATTTAAAATCTAAAGTTTGTAAATTTAATCTATTGTAATGCACGAAGATCAGCTCGTAAAACCTTGTCTTGGCAATATTTTATATGAAAACGTTTTTAAAAGAATCATATTATATTTGGCGTAACATACATACATAGTAAGAAATATATCTTTATTTTAAATGAATTTTATAAAACTTAAAATGCATACTTATTATATAAAATATTAATTTCTATACAAACTTATAAATTATAATCAATTATAAATAAAAAATTTTAAAAATCTATCACTTCATATTGAGTTTTATCAGGATTGTCACAAGTATATTTTCTTTTACAACATTCTGGAAAAGGTTGTTTTACACTGACTGGTCCAGCACGGAAACAATCTTTTAATTCTGGATTACTATCAGGACAACTAATAATATTATAGATAAATTATGGAAAACAAATTAATATTAATTAATTTAAAATAAAATTATATTATTCTTTGTTATACTCACGAATGTCCACTTATCCATCCTTTTGGTGAACATATAAGTCGAATACATCTATTTTCAATTTGTATATCACCTGGTGGAACTACTTGTTCTTTATATATGCACATTCCAGGATGATCTATTTTAAAGAAAAATGAATAAATCATTGATATGAGAAAATTATAGAAAAAAATTGAAATGGTGATTGTGAATTGTTAATTATTGTAATTGCAAAAAGTACATTTATGCTTCTATGTAACAAAGTGCAAAAATTCGCCGTATTAAAATATTTTAATACTGTTTTCCTATTTCGGGTTGTCAATCTGAAATTCTTAACTTTACTGAAGTTTTTCGGAGTTTGTTTTTTGATTCTTTTTAAAATATTATTTTAATTTTTATTAAATTTTTGCATTTTTATTATTTTGGGAAGATTAATTTTAAAATATTAACATTGTAATTTACCTGGATGTCCGGCATATTGTGAAAATGTTTCAGATTCTACTAATCTTAAACTAATTGTTAATATTATAATTAAAATATAAAAAATGCTAAATAAATTTTTATTCATTTTTTGTTTCGATATATTTTAAATATTGGTTTTGTTAAAATTTTGTTTTTATTTTAAATTGAACTAAAATTTTTCTAAAAATTTTCATTCTCTTTTATATAAGAAAATTATTTCCGAAAAATATTTTTTTCTTTCTTCTCTTTAATTTTGCTTTAGATTCCTTTAATTATTAATTAAAATAATTTTTAAATTTACTATTATTTATTTTTTATGCTAAAAAATATGGTGTATAAAAATTCTTAAAAAAAAAAAATTGCTATAATTTATAAATATTCATTAATATTATAGGATTTTTAGCAAATTTAATAAACTGGATTTTAGATTTAATTAAAAAAAAAATGTTTTTTGAGTAAAGTCATGCGACTGTAATTTTTTTTAAATCGATTTTTTTTTTATAGAATTTAATTATCAGCTCGTGATTTTAGAATAAGGGCCTTATAGCTGAAAAATTATCGTCGTAATAAAAGTTACCAAAAATGGTTTTTAGTGCTATGTTTTATTTACTTTACAAAATTTTTTAAAAATTAATTAATTATAAGAATATAATTGTGTTTTAATTTGTAATAATATAGAGAGCGAAAACCTAACTTTTAGACTATGGGCTAATTATTAAGAATAAATTAAGTATTAAATTAATTGTCATATTTGACTATTTCAAATTAAATGTCATATTTGACTTTACTTGATTGTGTGCACTTCGCCAGATTCTGTAAAAGGAAAGCCATACTAAAAAAAATGAGTAGCGACGACCCAGTTTCCTGTGTGTGCATTATGTTTTTTAATTGGCTGGCAGGTGACTGTCTTGCCGTTGTTTTTTGTCTTTATATTAAATATTTTAGGCTATAGATATTTTATATTGATTTATTTTGCTGGTGTATAATATTCGGATATTTATTTTAATACAATTTTTAGAGTAACCGGACCCGGCTTGGAACCCTATGTGCTTCGATTAAAACACCAGTGCCACTTGACTGTATTATTAGTAAGATATATTGAAATTAAAACTATGATCCCAAAATAATTTTTATTTCTCGTCAAGGGAAATTTCTCTCAAGGGAAATTTTGAATAAAAACTTTGACGGGTATTTTCATGTTTCACATATTTTTAAGATATAGAGAGCAAATATCTATTGACAATTACATATTACTGCTTAAAATACTATGCATTCGTATGTTTCCCTGCAGAAAATATCATACGAAATATCAAACGAATGGACAAAATAATTTTGAAATTAAATTCATAAATGTGATTTGTGTACATACTATGTAGTGGAAGACATGTAAATAACATTTGTATTTCAAAAAAATTTGTTTATTTTTCAAATTATGTATTTAAATTACTACAATATCAGATGTTTAAAAAATCCATGTTAATCCATATTATCCAAAATTTCATATATATGTACATACATATTATATAAACTTGATTTGGTTATTAAAAAATTATCATTAATTATGTTAAATTGGTAAATATTTACAAGCTTTCAGATATAAAAAAGAAAACAGAACACAAAAGCTTTAATTTGGAAATGTTCTACTAAAATCACTTTTCTTTTTTATTTGATTATTGATCGTTTTTTATTTTGTCATTGTCAATGTATGTATATATGAATAAATTAATTAAATATAAACCAGTTAAAATGTTTAAACAACTTGACGTAACAATTATAAATAAAATATAATTTAATAATTAGTTTTGTCTACTGTATACCTATACAGTAATACGGTACATATTATAATTTTACATATGATGTACTGCTATAAATTATACACATACATAAGTGTATGTACATCATATATACATATATGTATACGTATATTATATTAGTACAAATTTTGAACACGAGCAGCACGTTAAAATCGATTATTTATAACTTGAAATATTAAAATAATATGATAAAAGGTTATTAGTACTATTTACATTATTATTTAAAATATTTTATATAAAATTTTATATTATTATTTTTATTACTATTATTGAATTCTTGTTAATGAGAACAAAAGAATAATAATATTCTTTATTATGCTTGTATAGATATAGTTAACAATTAAGATCAATCAAAAATATTTTAAATTATTATGTCGAGGCGCTTATGATTACAAAAAAAAAGCATATATAAGAGAACAAAAAACATGAAAGAAAAAATTCTTAATAAAACCGGAAATTATTTAAATTTACAATAATATTTTCCTTTTTTTTTCTATGTTTCTTTATAATAAAAAATTAATTTTATAATTCTAAGAATTTTAATTATTGAATTCACCAAATAATTTCTACGCCATAATATTATATGGATGTCATTATTATACTTTAAAAAAAAAATATTGATATTTTAACTTCAAAATAGTGTTAAAAAGATTTGTTGGGTGGCATATGACTATAGACTGATTTGTGTCTTTTTGAAATTGTTAAAACAAAAAACTTTTTTAAAATTTTGTCAAATTCTCATTCATAATTTCTAGTCATATTTCAAAATTAAAATTCGATTGTCATTTTTTTAAATTTTAAATAATTTTAATTTATTTACTCCTAATTGTATAACATATAAAATATTTTAAAATTGATAAACACTTGTGACATTTCTATGCAAAATAATTGACTATTGTGACTCATCTGAGGTTTTTTTTCATATAAGTGTACATTTGTACATTATAACAGAAATTTTGTGTGTGTGTGCTTTTTTTTAATAGATATATGTATTACATAGATATATATGTATGTATTTATTTATTTTATGACAAATTTTTATACACAATTCTAAAAGAGCTAGAATGATAATATGTGAATCCTAAACAAAATTAAATTAATTCTTTATACTAAAGTGCATTACTTATATTATAATTATTCGTTAAAATTAAAATATTACTTATAATTATTATAATATAATTTAATAGTCCACTGTTTACCCTATACTTAAATTTCATTTTCAATATTGTAAATATTTAAAAAATTCACAATATTTTAGCAATTTTATGCTAGTACATCTAAATTCCATATATGACAACTGTTCTAAGTGCTGATAATATATTTTCAAGTCACAATTGCAGAAGATAATGCACATATTTTCCAAAACACATTCATGTTAATTTTATTGTCTAAACACTCGGCTCCCAATAAACTTTTTTAACGTCATTAAATTAAGACAAACTGAAGAGCAATCTTATAAGAATATTTTTTTATTCATTATATTTTGGGCAACAAAAAAAAAATATTAATTAAAAAAAAAATATATGTATTTATAATTTAATTATGAATTAATTATTTTCAAATTATAATTATAAGAACTATTCTAGTTTCTCATATACATACATAAATATTTTGCAGAGAAGAAATTTTGATTATGGAATATTTTATTTTTGGAAAATATCAAAAATTAATGGTAATATTATCAAATTTTTTGAGTTTATTTGTATTCTGATCGCTGTTGATTAAACACATTAATAAAATTTTGTATAGAAAAATTTATATTTTATCTAAAATTTTCTTTTAATTTAGTAATAAACTGCTTGAAAATGAAAATTGTTAGCATTTGTTTGGTGACTTTAACATTTTTGTATTATGTTAGTGCTGATACACATTCTCAAAATGCAACGCATCCTGGTAAATTGACTTAAACCTGAAAAAAATAATAACTTAATACAAAAACGCATAAAATATTAAGAAATTGCATACCATTTGGAATTAGCAATACTTTTTTACATTCTATAATGTTTTAATATTTTTTTAACATATTTTTTTAAAATAATTATTAAAACAGATTTAATTTATTAATAAAAATATATTGTAGATTATCCGGGAATGTGCTATTATGATGATAAACCTTATCCGCCAGGGGAGCATATTATAATGAAACGTTGTGAAAAAATTACATGTGGTTCAAATAGTTGGGTTAGCATTCATGGGTAAGTTTATTTTTTTAATTTTTTTTACTTAATTCTAATTAAACATTACTTAATTTAATTATAAATTATAATCATTTTTTTAATTTGTTTTTATTTTGTAGTTGTATTAAAACAGCCAGTTCAAAGCCAAATTGTAAAAGAGGAGATTATTTTGGTGTTGGTATGCCGTTCCCCGAATGTTGTTTAAGAAAATATAAATGTACTGATGAAAATGGAGATGATTATGTTGATTTAGATTTTTAAATAAAATAAATTATATATAAATTTTGTAAAGTATTTTTTTTAACTATAAACGATTTTTGTATCTATGTATTATTTGCTGCACTACTCGATCGAAAAGTCATAAAATATTAAAAATTTTCATTTTCTGGATTTTCATTCGTTTTGTAGTTCTAAAATTGATCTAACCATAAGCCGTTTTCTATCAAACATTTAACAAATTATTTAAAAATTTTTACTTAACTTTTAACTGTTTTAATTAAAAAACACTCAATTAACTTTAAGGCGGGTCTAATTCACTGATATTTTACAAAGTTTCGTCAATTATAAAATGAATGATAGCAAGAATAGAAAAAACAGCATAATCTAAATTAATAAAATATAAAAAATGTTTCGACTCTTTGGGAAAATTGCGTTAACATTCATTGTTCAGAGCTAAAATTATAATAAATAAGGTTTATGAAAATTGCAGCAATTTTTTATAATTAATTGAACTATAAAATTGTATGATTCAGTAAATCATTCTCAAAAGACTACGAGTATTCAAGGTAACATTCTGTGAGAGTGTGCCGATAATTTCCATTATACCGGTTCTTGGATAAAATTTTATTATTAAATATTTGCAAAAATAATAAACGATCATTTTAAATAGATGTTACTTTTTATATTCAAACTTTGAATCTCCAAATATTTCATATTTTTTAGTATTTAGCTTTTCCTTCTCTTGTGGTAGAATTTGTGTGGAATTTTTTTTTTGCCGGGTTGGTTTTTAATATTTTAAGGCTTCATTAAGCCAGTCTTAATAAATTTTTGGCTATATATGCTATATAAGAAAATTTAATTTGAGTAAGAGGTATTTTAAAGTGCATCCAACCAATTGAGGGTTAAATTTAAGTATAGATTTTAATTCTATATCTTTATCTTTTATAAATGCTATGTGTAGATATATTTATTTGTATTCAATATTTTTACAACAAAATGGAATAAATTAGTACAAGTTCGTGAAAATCACCGCTTTATATATCATCTACATACATATGCACATTTATTATATTTATTTATGTAGCCGCAATTATAATTATTCTTATTGCAATAGCCATTCTGAGACATAAAGCATTTAACACCCAAAAAACTTTTTTATTGTTAAAAACTTAAAAAAAAAAAACAAAACGAGATATTTTAATTTTTTTTTTTAGTTATTGCGCAAAAGTTTAGAATAAAAAAAAAAACGCTCATGGCTAATTAAATTATGAATTGATTATTTTAAATGTATTTTAATTTAATAGTGTATTAAGAACAATTCTAGTTTTCAAATTTTTTGTGTTTTTTCTATTTGTTTTTTGTCTCTTTACAAAAAAGAAATGATTATGAAATATTTTATTTTTGGAAAAAATCAAAATAAAGGTAAGATGTTATCAAAATTTTAAGTTTATTCGTATTCTGTTCGCTGTTGGTTAAACACGCGTACCTATAAGATAATTTAAATCAAATTTGTATAGATAAATATACATTTTTTTAAATTAATAGTTAATCATATATAAAAGCATTAAAATGAAAATTTTTTGTATTTGTTTAATTACTTTAACATTTTTATATTATGTCAGTGCTGATACACATTCTGTAGATGGATCGCATCCTGGTAAATCAAGATTTTAATTAAAACGTGTAAATTAAAATCGAAAAAATTTCATGTTAAATATTATAAAATTTTCTATTTTGAAAGTTAATATTATAAATTTTATATAAGTCATTATATGTGCCTATTGTACACAAGTACAAAGACTGGATTGTTCTGTTAATTGTAATAATTATTTTATCTATTTGATAAAAAAATATATAGATTATCCTGGAAAATGTTTTTATGATGATACAGCTTTTGAACCAGGTGAACATGAAGTAAGAAGACGTTGTCAAAAAATTACATGCAATCCAAATGGTAGAGTTAGTGTTCACACGTAAGTGTTTTTTTTTGTTTTTAAATTTTGCAACATGTGTGATTATGTAATAATAAACGTAATTTTTATGTATTTTCATTTTTTCATTCTAGTTGTATTAAACAAACTAGTGCAAAATCAAATTGTAAAACTGGAGACAGATTTTTATTCGGAAAACCATTCCCAGAATGTTGTTTAAGAAAATATGATTGTGTTGATGAAAACGGAGATGATTATGTTGATTTGGATTTCTAGATTAAATAAAAATATATTTTTAAGTACATTTTTGTTTGTTTGAATTGGCTTTTTATTATAGTTTATTAGTTTATTTTTATTATAGTTTAACAAAAATTTTGGAATGTGATTACTTAATGAGAGCATTCGAGCTTCAATTATCATATATTTTCAATAATTTTATTTTCTGATAAAAAATTAAAAATTGAAAGATTTTTAATAATTTTCGCCGGCATTTTAAGCATTCACACAGTAAAATGTAAAAGCTATGGTGTTTAAATTGGTTTTTCTTTAAAATATAATGGCCCTGAATAAAATTAAACCAAAAAATGTTGAGTAAAATAAAGAATTTCAACGGTTCTTAAACCGAATTTTCATAATTTATTTCAATATTTTAGTTAAGCATTTATCCGATAGATGGATTGGCGTTATAAATTATTTTGTAAACGACATCACTTATTTATATTTTGACAATAGACATTATTTTGTTGTGACAGTAATCAAAGTTGTCTTACTTATTTTTATTTATTTTTTTTGGGAGAATAAATTTACATCGAATTCAATATAAAATAGAAATAGAATAAAATAATATTTCAATTTATTCTGTAACAAAATATGAATTGAAGCATATTTTAGTACGATAGAAAAAGACAACGTTAAAAAATAGAAAAATGGAACTAAATAATAAAGACTTGATTAGTGATACAGTCACAGGTGACAAAGAAGTTTCATTACAAATAAAGAAACCAAAAAAAATATTACATTTTTGTGATGGAACACTTGAAGAATTCTCTGATGATGAGGATGATATTGATGGATCTGTAGCAGGAACAGAAGAAAATGGTTCGCAAAATGAGCAGGCTAGCATAGATGAGGTAACCAAATTTAAATTAAGTTTTTGCTTACATAAAGCATTTGCAAGTTTCAATGATTCTGAGCCTTCGCTTTTTACAAGACTTCAGTAAAATTTACATTTATTTTATGGGACACGCCTTGCATAATCGTATTATGTTATGAAGGTTTAATTCGGGTTTTAATTGGCTTTTGTAGGCGCTAAATAAGTATATTTCTTAAACGTAATATATAGAAAAAAATCGATGACAAGGTTAATCGATATTATTGAATATAGAAACATGTTGCTTGCTTATATAATACTAAAAATATTGTGATTTATGGTTACATTAATTGAAATCTAAATTATGCTTGAATAGAACAAGGCCTTACAATATAAAATGCATTTTTATAATCGGTATTGAATTGTATAATGAAATGCTTTTATTCTGAAAATAGTAATTTTGAAATTTTCAAGTTATTTTGTAGGACATTTAACAGCAGTTTTGGATTTTAATGCCTTATAAGATTACGAATTTCTCTATTAACCTTTTTTAAATTCAATCTTATTATTCCAGTAATAAAAATTTGGTGTTATTTTTATGACAAGGAAATTTTAATTTACACAATATGTATTAAGGTATTTTTATAGTATTTTTATTGAATAAAAACAAATTTTTTCTAGAAAAATTTGCCATGGATTCCCTGGTTAAAAGTAAAATCATGGAAAACTGGAACATCAGCTTTAGCTGGAATTGATTATGTTGGAAGTATATTAGCTGATTTTTTAGGAATTACAACTCCAAAATTTGCATTAGAATATGAAGCTTTTAAGCAAAATCAAAATGAGAAAGCTGAAATTGAAAAAGAAAAATTAGAAAATGCATCATGGCAAGAAAATCAAAATAATTCAAATGAAATTATAAGTACTGATTTAAAAAGCGATTCATCTATACGTTTTTAATAAATGTACTTGAGCGCTTTACTTAAACGTATTATAAAATATCGATAAAAAAATATCTAATAATGTAAAATGTGATGTTTTTGTACACATAAAAATAAATAATATATTTAATTATATTTTTGTTAGTTGGCTTTAATTTATTATAATATATTTTTCAATAAAGTATAAAAAATTTTATATTACATATAAATCAATGTAATTTTATTTGTCGTCTGTTTTTAAATACTATTCGATTCTATTTTTAAAATTACTAATGTAATACAAAATTACGAATATATGTAATATTAATTATTATTTAAAAATTATATTTCGGATATTTTAGATTTAAAATATATTAGATTATAAGTAAAAATACGGGTTTATATGGATTAGAGGTTCAATAAAAAGATTTAAAAATGAGCTGACTACATTGTGGGAAAATTTTTTTTTCCAATATTTTGAACTTTTATTAGACTTCCTTGATAAAAGTTTTTGCAAAATGCATTTATAGTATAGATGAATTCTTATTGACTGAACGATCTTTAATATTATTGCATCTACATGTTAACTATAAACATTTTATTACTAATACGTGATTTAATTAAAAACCTCAAAAAACAGAAAAACTAGTTTTTAATTTTAAACTAAGTAACTTTTAATTTTAAAACTATCCGATTCATATTTACTTTTTATTTAAAATTTCTTGAAAAAAAATTATGTTGAAACTTTAATCTCATTTCTTATTTTATCTTAATAATTATGTATCTTTGATAAAAGATCAACTAAAAGAAGTAATGAGTTGCAATGTCATTTTAAAAACTGCCTCTTTTTAAATTGTATCACTTATTTTGTTCTCGTAATTTGAAACATTTGTGTGTTAAGAATCAATTCTAAGAAAATTTACTTGGCAAAAATCATTACCATTACATTTTATTTTCAAGTAAATAAAATTGAAATCTGAAATCAAATTTTGAAATCTTTATTTGTGATTAACTGTGATAAAGTCCTTTTGTATGTAAGTCATCAAAGAATATTGTTGATAGGCTTTTATTGCAGTCCCAATAATAATTTAATAATTTACATGAAATAAAAAATATTGAATAGAAAAATATATAAAAAATTTCGAAAATTTATTGCATTAATACTCAAAGAGCCATTCTATATATTAACCTAAAAGTATGCAATAAAATATTTTTTCAAAATCTCTAGTAGTATTTCATATCGTTAATAGTAAATCGGTGTGCGTGCGTGTATGTGTGCATTTATTATCCTTTCATAACGCTTTTGCATTCATTTCTCTTTTTACATTTCTTTAATTAAAATTTACATTTTAAAGAAAAATTTTTTTAATTATTAAATTTATTTAATAAAAAAAAATAAATAAATTAAATGAAATACAAAAAATTTTCCTAGTAAAAATTTCAAAAAATAAATAAAAGGACACACCCAAAAATAAAATATACGAAAAACAAAAAAAGTTTTTTTTTTGCTTTTCTTTCTATTTTATTTTATTATTTTTAATTATATATGAGAAATAAACGCATGTATACATACATATGTATATACTCCAAAATAGAAGGGGATTAAAACCTGTCGTGCAATTACCAAAAATACAAAAAAAAAATTTTTTCTTTTTTTTTTTTTAATGAATTTTCAGGACTTTTTGTTACTTCTGTTTCTGTTCGTTACTTTTTTGTTGTTGTTGTTTTTTTTTTATGACAAAGTAAAGTAAAAACTCTAAATATAATCCAGGCTTTTATTATAATATAACAATATATTTAAAGAAATATTATATACAAAATATAACATTTATTTTACATATTTATTCATATGTGAATTTTATACTATATAACCGGTTCTTTATACTATACATACATACATACATATGTTATTAAAAGACAAAAACAAAAGAACAGAACCAAAAAAAAAGAAGAAAAATCAACATTAAAATAAAAAGGAAAAACTTTTTTCATTTCTCTGTCCTCTTCTCATTACAATCAGCTATCGTGTGTGGCGTACACATGCTACATTATATAGTCATATGTGAATATTCGCCATTTCTTATTTAATTTTATACTTTTCTTTTTATTTTCATTTTTATTTTCATTTTTTTTTGTATTTCTTTCGTTTTTTGTTTCTTTGTGTCCTTTGGCACCACCATATCCAATATTGGTTGATTTCATTACAGAAGAAAAATGTACAAAATAATAATAAAAATGAAGTAGAATAAAAAATAGCAAAAAAGAAAATAAAAAAAGAGAAAAAATCAAATAAAATTATAAAAAACGTAAAAAAAACTTTTCTCTTGAAATCCTAATTAGAAAAAGAAAAAATTTCGTCTTTCATTCTCTACATTTTATTTTCCTCCTGTTTAACCGACCATCTCCTCCTTCTCTATTTTTGTGATATTCCCGCATCATCATCATCATCATCAACATCATCGTTATCATCATCATATCCTTTGATACAGTTTCTAGGTCCCTTTTTTTTCTTCTTTTATTTTCATTTAATTTACGCCGCATACGTACATATATATACTTATAATATGTAATAAAAATATAAAAAACAACAACAACAACAAATAAAAGAAAAGAAAAATAATACAGAACAGAATAGAGAAAAAGTAAAGCGCGCACCCATCAACATTTTTTTTTTTTTTGATTTTCTTGTTTTTATTTAGTAATGTACATAATATTTACACATGAGAATACATTTTGTATACAAGTAAGAATACATACGTTGTGTACATATATAATAAATTTATAAGTTTTTGCCGTACACTCATATTAATATTGTTTGTTATCCTTTCATATATGTATGTATGTAAATCAAAATTACCATGTATGAAGAAAAGTAATATAATTTTGCATATTTTATATAGTTGTACTTACGGAATATATCTATACATACAGGGTGTGTATAGTGCTAATGCCTTTTTTCTTTTAGATTATTTTCATGATGCAAGTTGTAACCATGGATATTACATAGGGAGATCCAAAGTAGGTTGATTGCTTCAAGATATACACGAATTTGTTCCGAGTTAGATATAACACGAATTGGATCCCTGCTATATATATGGAGAACTTGAGTTTGAGTTAGTTGGATCCGTAAAATACATTAATGAACTGGATCCGAAATAAGTGGAACCGCAGTTGCAACAATAAATATTACGTGAGGTAAGTGCATTTCAAATTTGTCGTGTAGTTTCATATCTTCTATGTTTATTTAAAATATTTCTATATTTCTAGAATCGTTTCTCTATACATCTCGGAAATCATAGAGATTTAGCATTCAATTCAAAACAAAAGTTTTACTCATTTTTGATCCTCTAACCAATGGAATATATCGTTGCATACCATTCTGAATCACTCTGTATAAAGTCATACATACATGTATAATTAATAGATATAAAATTTAGTTATAGTATACACAGTGGAATCATCAAAAAGGATGATGATTAAAAAAAAAAAAAGGGATACAAAAAGAAATTAAAGAAAAGAAAAAACAATAAATTAGCAATTAGTTAAGGATTTTTATGTATACACACTTGTTTACATTATGCATGTATATATGAAGTAGTTATATATGTATATATAATATAAGTAGTTGTAAGAAAAATATTTATGTGTATGTACAATAATTTTTTTACTGATTCTCTATAAAGTGACTACACATTAAACAAAAAAATTAAAATAATCAAAAAAAAATTTTTTTTAATTTATGAAATAGAGGCAGGTTATTCCTGAAATTTTCGCCCAATTTTTTTTTTTTTGGTATCAAAATGAAAGTTAAATTTTTCGAGAAATGGGGTAAAAACGCCAGAAATTGCTACTTTTCAGAAAAATTGAATTCAACAATTTATAACCTGTAATAGGAAGGCGAAAAAAGAAAATGTCGATTGACTCATTCTATCACCCTGCTTCGAGAAGTACTGAGATGTGCAGATTCGACATCCTGCAGATTTGAAATTCGAGTCTCGAATATCCTGTGTAGTTTTGACTTTACCATATGGCTCAAATTTCATGTTTTCATCTAAGTAACAGATAACAGTTTTAAAAATTTAATTCAGCTAAAAAAACTTAACTTATGGGATTTGAATAAAATTTCGGCAAATATTACTTTCATATCAAGCTCAAATAAGATTTTCGATTTGCATGCGTCTTGTTCTACTTAGTTTGGAACGTTTTTTGGTAATTTGTTTTTATGCAAATTCTTTTTAGTGTTGCCACTTTACTTGCCTTTTATCATTTAATTTCGTAACTATGGAATTTACTATTCGAAAAATTTAAATGAACAGCTACAAAAGTAAAAAAGACGAAAAAACAGAAAAATCAAATAAAATTGGGTATAAGATGGGAAAAGAGAAAATATATATGAAATATATAAGATGACATAGGAAAATTTAAATAAGAAATTATATAGAGAAGAGAAATGTGAATGAGGTATAAAATTAAAAATTATTTTTTTGCTTGTTTGTACGAATGTTTATAATATACAAGAAGAGGAGTTAAAGTTATGGGGTATATATAGTTTCATAAAATTATTTATTGTATATATAAACATAATATATATAATATATAGATATATATGCGTATGTATATATATAGATATATATGAAATAAAGTCCAACGTTTAGTACTAATTTACATATGTGATGAGAAGAAATTAAAATAAAAAGGATTCATTTGTCCTTAAGCTATACGTATGTATATATACATAAAAAGTTTTGTGAAATATATTACATATTCAATTATATATACATATGTACGGCATGTATGTATATATATGTATGTAGGTACATTTATTATATTTTAATTTTATGTAAATTTTTTATAGATTTTATTTTAGAATTTCTATTTAAATATAAATATATGTATGTAGGTAAATAATTTTGTATATGAAGAAAGTGTGTTTAGAAAAAGAAAAACAAAAAAATAAAGGAGAATAAAAAAGTAAAAAAGGATAATAAGAATTTCTTTCATCATGTGTGTATTATTTGATCAGGATCTTAATTTCTTTATTTTTTTTTCTTTTTGTTTTTTTTTTTTATTTTTATTATTTTCTTTGCTCTTATTTTAACAGAGAAATGTGGTTTTAGGTAAAATAAAGAAAAAAAAACGTGAAATTTTCTTTTCTTTTTATTTTTTGTTTCTTTTGCTCGAAAATATTTGTAAAATGATTTTTCTTTGTTTTCACT